CACTTGAGCTACAGCGCCACTTCCGGTTTTCTGGTGGTTTATTGGAGATAGGAGTCTCACGGTCTCTCCTGCCCGGGCTGGCTTTGAACCTCGATCCTCAGATCTCAGCCTCCTGAGTAGCTAGGATTACAGGCGTGAGCCACCAGCGCCCGGCTAGAAATCCCAGTTTTTAAAAGACCAGACATCCATTAATAATGTGGGAAGTAACTATAAGACATCACCTCCAAAATGAACATAAGTGAAAGCATATCTTTATAATTTTATTACGATTTCAGAGTTTCATAAACCTTTCAGAAGACATGGACTAAGTCCACTAATGCTTACTTTGTGAAATGTGACTCACTTTCCCTTTATTTTACTTCCTATTTGACTTCATTGTTGACCTTCTAAATCATCTGTAGCATGTACTTATTTCAAAAAACATGAAGAAAATATAGAAAAATATCAAAGGTAGACAAAATATTACTTTAAAATTGTCATGGATAGCTATTAGAACAATTCTAAGACTATCATATTTTTTCTTTTCCATCACTGTTATAAAACTCCTAAAATCACTAACTTAAGGGTAGAAGGATTTATTTTGGCTCATGGTCAGTAGGTCCTGTGTTCCTGAGTTTATGGTAGAAGGATATAAGAAAGGAAAACTTGTCGCCTTATGGCAGTCAGAAAGTAGAGAGACAAAGAAGAGTCCGGGTATGACATATGTTTGTCAAAAGCATATTCCAAGGTACTACTTCCTCCAACTTGACCCCTACCTCTTAGCAGTCCATTACCTAGATTTCATTAACAAATTCATCTATTGAAGTTACAGTCCTCATTATCTAATCATCTGTCAATAATACCACCAGATAGGTAGCAAATGGGGCCACACTTCATATCCAAATCATGACAATGAGCATTTACAACAAATACCATACTTACAGAATACTAAATTATCCAAGCAAATATTACAGAACCTGATCACCTGTTAAGTATTGCAAGTTGTGCATTTCTCACCCGAAACCTGGTAGATATGACACCATAAAAGAAAAATTCTACATCTCAGGTGATGAGACACAGCTAAAACACAGGATCCCTAAAAGTCCGGTATAAGCTTGCTTTATAAGCTAAGTGTATAAAGAAACATGAATTTCCTGTTTAGTTCATGAAACATGGGTATCATCCTCAAGATGTCTTGATATGTACAGGAAAATATCCTTACTTGGTATGGCTTCTGGTGCCGAGTATTTGGGATATCAAACAGTCATTCTGTGTTTAGAACAGTTTAGGTGCGATCTTGATAGCCAATTCTGTCCAGGTAACCTCAACTGACAGCTCTTGAGAATGAACACTATGACAAGTCCTTGCACAAGTTCGCAAATATCCTGTGATCAATGTACCATTACTATCCTCATGTTACTGATGAGCAATCTGAGGCTGAGAGAGGTGAAGTGACATATGAAAGGGTGCACACACAGTAAATCATGTAGCCAGGTCACATCAGTCCAGAAATCAATTAATCAGGATGCTATCTACTGCCTCCACATGTTTCAGCACTTGGTAAACACAACCTCGTCAAAAGTACGGATTTACCTGATAGAAACTTTTAGCACTCTTCATCGCGACATTAACACTGCACAAGAAACTTGGCATTGAATTTTACAGACACTATTTAATTCCTCCGACATATATCGTGTCCTTCAACACTGATACTTATCATTGTGCTTATCTAATATCCAACCACATATGATCCTTGTGAAATATGTCATTGCTTTGGCATCAATGAAAAACAGAAGCAATATATTGAGAACTTACTTTCAACCAGTCATCTTAACTCCACATATTTTAGTCCGCTTTCATCTTTCTTCTCCCTTTTGCCTCACATCTGGTTATTTACAAGTCTCACATCTTCTTTCTTTCACATGGTTTTTGCACTACTCCTTTTGATTTCTTCCCCTAAAATTCTAAATTCCGGTCCTTGATACTTTGCTCCAAAATTATGATCTACCTCAGGATTGGTCACTATCCCTAATCCTCACAACATACTTTTCATCTTTTGCTTTTGATTGTATTGGAAGAAAATACAGCCAATAGCGTATCTCAAAAATATAAGACTTCAACAATATCCTCCTCTAGCCTTATGAGAATCAATACCAAAAGCGACATAGATGAACTTTCTGTAATTGGTTATAGAAGAGCAAGATTTGAGCATTATAAGAAGTTCACAGAAGTTATTCTACTTCTAATAGTATTATAAGGGGGGAAATAAAGAAAAAATGATAATTGAAGAAAATTTTTGATGATGTAGTTCTCTTATAAATTGGAAACAATGACCCTTGAAGGACCATAAAGAAAGTGAATGTCAAGATAATTTATTATTGCTACATTATCTACCTCATTTTTCACTGTGTCTTACTGAGCTGTGATAGCCTTACAAGGTACCAAATATCCCAAACATTAATGAACAATTTAACAGTGTATAAAAAGCAAGAACAAGACAGCTGGAACAAGCAGTTGGTAAATTTATCCTCTGCTATTATCCTCACATCAAAAATGTTCACCAGAATGGGGCAATGCAAAGGATTACTAGGTAGTGTCTCAGGTTTGAAAGAAAGGTATGTGAAACTAAAAGGTTTGGGGCATTTCCTAAGGCTCGGACGTTCCTCTTTCCCCAGCCAGACCAAGTAGTCCTTATCCTGTTTCAAGGGTAACATTTCACAGTTCCTCTTACGATTTACTGCGGGTGATTGTTTTCATTGTAGAAGAGCCAGTTTCTATGCCTGTCGGTTGGACAAGCATTTATACGTTATTGGTGGAAGGAATGAAACCGGCTACTTGTCCAGTGTGGAGTGTTACAACTTGGACACAAATGAATGGCGTTATGTATCCTCTTTGCCTCAGCCTCTGGCGGCTCATGCAGGAGCGGTGCACAATGGGAAGATATACATTTCAGGCAAGTCAATTCCTCCATTTTCTGTTACCAAGTTCAGTTTCAAAGCATTTGCTTGACTTGTGTGTGTCATTCACAGGGGGTGTACACAATGGAGAATATGTCCCATGGCTATATTGCTATGACCCCGTTATGGATGTCTGGGCTCGAAAACAAGATATGAACACAAAACGTGCCATCCACACGTTGGCTGTAATGAATGATCGCTTGTATGCAATTGGAGGAAATCATTTGAAAGGTCTTTTTTTTTCTTCTAATCACAATAACATTTGCATCTCATGTGTCTTGCTAAGGGGCTTTCTCGTTAGATAATCATAGTTAACCAAGTAAAAAACATGTTGACCAAATAAAATCTACTCTGTGTAAATTAGCAGTACCCTTAAGCAAGCATTTATTCTGCCTCTTCTGCAGATAGAATTATTTTTAGGTTACCATACACATTAAAGAAATGAATAATGATGTCTACAGAAAACAAAAAAAGGAGCATTAATAACTGAAAAGCACAAACAATTTGCTGTCACAATGAATCTTGTGAAATAAATTATTGCTTATCACCCAAGTTGTAGTAACGAATTTTTTCTGGAAAATTGTATTTTGCAATAACCATAAAGAATTTTTTAGTCACAACTGTGCAAAGCCAACATGCATTTTTCTTAAATATTTAGCAGAATTTTGTGTTTAAATAGGAATTATTTCTTTTAGTGCTGGATATTCAACCGTCTATACTTCTCAAATAGGACTGCTTTTATAATACTGTACACCAAATTTAGACTATAACATTTTTAGAACCATATTTTGATCCCCGTACCCCACTATATATACTATATAACAAATGTATACAACTGCAACTTTTTGTACTTAATGTGCATATTGACAACTTTATGTGCATATGTTTAGCGTTGAATTTCATAAGAAAGCTGTGATAGCTGTGCTACTGAAAATGAAATGTTTCTTACCTATTTGGGGCCTCAAAAAAACCTGAAAAACTGATAGCTTACTTGAAAAACTTAACCTCATGTCTGAAAGACATGAAAATATCCATAGCATACATTTAACTAGAGAAAAAGTAATTTTGTTTGCTTAGTAGCAATGAGGTTCCCACTAAAGCTTTTTTGTCCCTTAAAGGCAGGGATCTACAAGAATCCACAATCTTGTATATTGTTCTTAAGATTTTCCTTATTGCACCATCATGAGTGGAGGGAGGCACATGCCTGTAATCCCAGCACACAGAAAGCCTGAGGGAGGAGGATCTAGAGTTTGAGATAACCTGAGCTATATAGCAAGACCCAGTTCACATTTTAGAAATGAAGAGGAGAGGAGAGCAGAGGAGAGGATAGAAGGAAGGAAAGAAGGAAGCAAAAACCCGACCCCCTGATGGGAATGTACTCAGTCCCCTGCTCCAAACTTTGATCCTTAGGAAATACCAGAATCCATTGACATTATCAATGTTGCTTATAAACATAGTCTGACTAAAAAAGAGTTTAAAAGATGTTGAATAATAGGTTTAATTAAAATATTTTTAGATTGTTAAGCATTCACTAAGAAAAGCAGAATGCACTAGTCTGTATGAATGTGAACACTGAACTCTGTTCACCTGGGTTCAAACCTCAATTCATCTACTTAAGTGGCGTGTGATTTATTCCAGTCACTGACTTTTTGTTTCCCTATCTCTAAAATGAGAACAGTAATACTAGTTATTTAGTACAAGCCTGCAGAAAACGAAGCAACCTACAGCCCTCTATGGAAATGTTTTCACTATCATTATCTTAAATGGATAAAAGAAAGCTTTTCATAAACCGTCTTTTAAACAAGCTCTGCTTCCAAATAATCGATCTTTCCTAATGACATCTGCTCAGGCATTCTTGCTTTGAATTAATCCAAAAGCCTGAAGTTCTGTGGGTGGTTTGTTATGTCTTTCTGATATGTCTCCCAATCCCACCAGTGACCATGAAACCGTGTCAAAAGCAAGAGTCTTCTCCGTGGCAAATCGGACATGAGGTCTCTAATAGCTCCTCTTTTCATGGGTCCATTTTGCTCTATCACTAGGCTTCTCACACCTTGATGTCATGCTGGTGGAATGTTATGACCCAAAAGGCGACCAGTGGAACATTCTCCAAACTCCCATTTTGGAGGGTCGGAGTGGTCCTGGCTGTGCAGTGCTCTATGACAGCATTTACCTCGTGGGTGGTTACAGCTGGAGTATGGTACGTGTCATTGTTTATCTCCTCCTTTGCTTTTTCTGTTTATTTGCTCCCAAATGTGCTGTCATCCATCCACATGTGTTCAAACATACAAAAAAAATGAGATTCCACCATCAACATCCACCAACATTTTGTCATACATACTTTTGTTCTTAAAAAAAAATTGTCTGTGTAATGTTGTCAGTTGCTGCAGAAATAAATTAATACTCTCATATGATATAGCATCTTCCATTTTACTTCTCACCTTATGTATGTTTTTCTTTTGGTTTTTATTAGAGAACCATATTTCATGTTTACAGTATCTTATTCCTCTAGAGAATTATAAATCTATAGAATTTTTTAAAATCCAGCTTAACGCGCGTGCACACACACACACACACACACACACACACACACACACACACACACACTGGCTGAAGCAATTGAAAGCAGATTTCAGACATCTTATTTCATTCTAAATTTCTCAATATTTTTTTAAAATTCACTAGTGTAAATAGATAACCTTTTCTTCACACCTGCCAAAAGTAACAATGAAATTCTCTTATATCCATTTCATATTCAAATTTTCCCTATTAGGGAAAAAAGAGGTCATTTTCAAATTAACATGTGCTAATGCACATTCCCATAAGGATACAAGACTCACTCCTGTTTGATTATGTCCTATAGATCTCGTGCAATCTAGAATATTACCTGTGCCCTAGTTTTCTTTTCCAAGTCATTAACTTGACAAAACAAGGTCAGTTACCATATGGAATAGCCTATATTCTAGAATTGGCTAACGATGTCCTATGCTATCATTGACAATAATTGCTCATTCCTAATTGGAGACAGGAGTTAACTCTGTTTAAACTTTTATATGATTTCACTTTCTTCTCATCCACCTCCTTTTTCATCATCTTCCTCTTTTCCCTTCTCTTTCTTCATCTTTGTCTTTTTTTTTTTTTTTTTGGTCAGTTGTGGGGCCTGAACTCTGGACCTGGACACTGTCCCTCAGCTCTTCAGCTCAAGGCTAGTGCTCTACCACTTGAGCCACAGCATCATTTTTGGCTTTTTTTTTTTTTTTTCTTATGTGGTGCTAAGGAATTGAACCCAGGGCCTCAGGCATGCAAGGCAAGCACTACCACTGAGCCACCTTCCGAGCCCCCGTCTTTGATTTTTTGGCAAGAATACCTGAGGAGATAGTTTTGTAGTTCAAATCACATCATATAAGAAGACACAGAAGGTCTAGTAATCTATAAAAAGGCAATGTTTTTAAAAACTATTTTCTTATTTATCTCTGTTAATTTTACATGATCTATATTGGAGTTTTTATTATATTAATTTTGAAAGTGGTGGAATGTGCTCAAGGGGAGGAAGGGTAGATAAATGAAGTGAAGGGGAGAATACAGTCAACATTTATTTTTTATCCTATAAATTTAAGAAAAGTTGGGGAAGGGGTGGATTGGGAAGGATGGGTGAGAATGTTAGAAGGGGATGCATTGTTCTCGTGAACTGTTTTGTCAAGTGGCAGCTACTATGTATAAGTGTGTAAAAAATATTTTAAAGAGGTTAGAATTATTTTAAAGGTTAGAATGTGTTTGTGACTTTAACTAAGTACTACCACTATCTCACAATACTGTGAAATATGTGAAATTTATGTAATCACTTAATCACAATAAAAAAGATTTTAAAATGATATTAGATTTATTTTGCATTAAATAAGACAGAAGGTTGGGGGGAATTTGGAAAGTTAATTATACAGAAACAAGTATAAATTGACATGTAACTAAGTATTTGCACATGTTCATGGTGAAAATTTTTAGCTTCTAAATGATTGGTGATTGGTTGGGTGATGTATTTGCCACCTGTGGTTTTTTTAAGCTGCTTTTTTGGGGCAAAGAAAATTTTGTCCTTCAAGTTGACATAGGAACAAAATTTAAAGCACTGTTTGTTTCTCAGGTGGCCTCTTGAATGTGGATAAATCAATATGTGAACAAGTTGGAAAGCCTTTGTTTCCATTCCACTTTAAACTAGTTTACAGTTCTAGCTCTGATTTTCCACTGTAACAACAACAACAAAAGAACTGAGACAATAATATAAACCCCAACTTACTCAAACTATTAAAATTTGTCTTTTTATTTCTTTTAGATGGATAATTTCTACTTTGGGGCAATTATTTTAAACTTAGGAACATATAGGATATTCTAGATATTTATTTGATTGCTATTGCAAGTCATCAAACAAAAAGACTTTGATGTGTCAATTTCAGATTTTTCCCTTGGAAAAAACCAGTTTAAGTCCACTGCCTTCATCTGGAACTTTATTTTTTATTTTTTAGTGAGAGCAGAGAACATATCTTTCCAATAGAAGTGTGTGATTAATCACATTGCCAATGAACATCCTTCTCTGAACATCCTTTCTTATTACTCTGCTCTGCTGTTACAGGGGGCCTATAAGTCATCTACAATATGCTACTGTCCAGAGAAAGGAAGCTGGACAGAACTTGAAGGAGATGTAGCAGAACCACTGGCAGGCCCTGCTTGTGCAACAGTTATCCTGCCTGCCTGTGTACCCTACAACAAATAACACCGGGAACCCCTGGAATGAACAGTATCACAGCCTGAGAAGCAGTGACAGGTGATGTTGCTGTTCTAGAGGAACCATGTATTTTCATGGTACAACTGCCAAAACCCACCTTTGGTTTCTGATGACTTACAAATAACTACAAAAGAAAGAGAACTGTCCTTGAACAGATATGGTGTCTGTAACCCAGAGTACACCGACTTCCTGTGGTGACAGACTCTTCACTTCAGACGGGTTCTACCTTGTCCCAGCTTTACAAAAACTCCTCATCCAGATGGATCTTCACTTTCAAAAGGAGGAAGACAAATACAGAAGACTAGTCCCAGAGAGACTTAAGATCAGTATTGTGCATTGTAGTCTACCTGCATGTGATTGATGTTGAAGTTTGGGGGATACTGTGTATAGGAAAGATTCAAAATTTGACCCACCAAAATATACTGCATTCCAGCAATTGCCACTTAAATTCTGTATTCCTCACCTTTGGCTACTTCACAAATGCTATAGGGAATATAATTGTTGAAAGTCATATTAAAGATTTTTTGTTTTTATACAACCTTTTTTGATATACTTTCTGTGCTAACAGCATCTCATGAATCAGAGGAAAATAAGTTGCTAGGTCTTGTAGCAATTGCTTTCTGCCCTATAGGTAGGTTTTAAGCAAGCCTGAATCCTAACTTTTGTGTCCTCAATTCTATCTGAAAAATTCAAATACAATACACTATTCAGTTCACCGGGACTCAGGTTTTCTTTTCTTTTTTTTTTTCAGCATTTAAGTACTGAAGATACTTCTCTGCCTTAAAAGACAGGACTGACCAATTCAGTTGGAATATTTCAGAAATTCTGGTGCATATCCAGCCTAAAGTTAATCCATAATGAAAATGGAAATATTACTTTCAAGAGTTCAGCAATGAAAAAAATAATTTCTTTTAAGTACAAGCCCAGGTGCCTCTCTGTTACAAAAACCACACAACTTTGCAAAGTTGTAAAGCACCTGACAAATTATTTCTCCTTTTCCTTGTCATTATTGGCTGGCTCTAGGCACTGGACTTACCTTTGCTGTTTCTCAGCTCATCACATTTGATTTGTTATCCCCAGAAAAGCCTGAAATAAGTTAAGTAAGCAATTGTTACATGTCTTCTAGGAGCATGAGGAATTTAAGAGCAGAGGGTTAGGACAGCATGACATAGTTTCAGTGTGGCCAATCAGAAGAGCAGAACTGGCAAGAACATGAATTTGACTTTCAGGTTCTTCAGAGCTTGACCGACAACTCTCACGAGTATGCAAAAGCCTAAAATGCTCTTAATCACCCAAAGATGCTGATTATTCAACAAATGCCATGTTCAAGACCACAATCAGAGGAAGCCACAGATTACATGAGGCTTTGGTGATAATCCTTCAGCATCAATGGAGGATGGCAAGATGGAAAAGGATCCTGGAATCCAGTGCCGTTTCGACAATAAAGTGCAATCTTCATTGTTTTTGTGTTTATTTGTATGTTCAGATCCAAAGGATCCGTTGTAAATATATATATGTATATGAATATATATATATGTATCCAGTGCAATCAACTTTCATTTCTTTTTCCTTGAAAACTTATGAATATATAGAAAGAAAAGTTACAGGATTTTGTGGAAAAATCTCAGCAGACACCATGAAGGAAACCTTTTATTGTCATCTGTCACTGTTTCTTCCAAAGTCACAGTTTATGCAAAAATACTTGCTTCCCTTAGACGTGTTCTTTATTTTCTTTTTATTTCTAGTGGAAATAAAGAAAGTATTTATGAGAACTATAACTAAAGCTTTCTGTATTTCAGAAAGACACAAACTACTAGAAAGTGAACAGTAAGTCACAGAAAATGTAAATCTTGTACAGTATTAGAATGTGTAAATGAAGCTTGCTTGGAAGGGGAAAAGTTTAAATAAAAACTTTATGTACTAATTCAACTGCCTCTCATATTCCTACTTATAAAGCATATGTACAAATTAAATTGTTTGGAGTTTTATAATATGTAAATGGCTGACTATTTTTATTCTGTGGATATACTTCACAAGTGTACTTCACTAACTTGCCATATATAAATGTAAATATTTCTTTGGGAAAATATTGTGAGTTAAAAAATAATATGACTTTATCCTGATTTTCCCACTATAACAGCTTTTCCATAAGGCATAACTTTACCTAAGATCTATAATAGTTATAGACATCATTATAAGTATGACAGGAACTATGATCTATGTGGACATGTATTGAAAACACCTGTACACTTTCTAAAGAATAAGTGAATCACCAAATCAATTAAATAAATTATCCAATTGCATATTTCATTTTTTAAAAAAATCTAACAAAGAAGTTGTACAGGACAATTAGATGGGTTATGAGGGAACTCAGAGATACATGGCTGAAAGTCATAAGTGAGTAGTCCTCCAGACAAAGAGAGGAAGAGAATCAGGAGCTAATGTCTGAGTTTTGCAAGCCAGGATGGATTCTGATGCATCCCATAATTTACTTTGATGTCTTAGTTTTGACAATTCACAATTAAGGGTTTTTTAAATCCTGCCTAGTAGTCCATGAAACAAGAGCAATGGACTTATTCACCCATTAGATCTCTTCTCTGTGCTAATTTAGCACACCAATAAAGATTCCCTCCAAAATGTAGTCTCTGAGGACATCTGAGCAAGTGGACAGTTGAAGCAGGGCTTGTTCCAAACACCCTGAAATCTCCCAAACTTTAATACTGACCACAGAGCACAGGTAGTGAAAGAAATAAGCTTGTCTTTTTCCTAATCTCAAGGAAGTGCCACTTTAAGTCCAGAGTTAAACTGCATATTTTTTATTTCTGATCGCTACCAGTTGAGGGAATTTGGGGAACAGGATGGTAAAGGATGAACTTTCTAAAAATATGCCTTAAAACTGTCTAAAAACTTCTAGGAGGATAGGCATAAGGACCAGATTGTTTAAAAATTAATTAGGCAGTGTCTGTTGGCTTAAAATTAGTGTCTATATGTGTTTGCTCTATTCAAACCTGCATTTTCTCAGTTTGTACCACTCAACAAATTTCATCCTTATCAATATGGTAAGTGTCAAGTGTTTATCATCCATACATCATCACACATGTCACTCTTCTCATTATACGTGGTTCTTTAGGTCAAAATACAGATGTTTCTTAGTTTATGCTGTGGTTACGTCCCACTAAACCAACTGTAAGTTGAGATATCTTAGATGGATGATACCGTATGTTATAGAGGATCAGGTGCTTAACCATCATGACCCTGTGGCTCACTGAGAACTATGGCCCACTGACCCTTCCCAGCTTCACCAGAGAATATCACACCATGTATTACTAATCTTGCAGCAAATAAAAAGTCAAATATTGAAGAGCAGTATCTATTGAATGCATGTCCTTTTCATGCCATCTTAAAAAATTTTAAATCAAGGACATCAGTAGTTAAAAAAAATAAAACAAAGCATACAAACAAGCTACAGTAAAATTAGTAAGGCACACAAACCCCAACTAATAAGCACTGGCAAGTGTCTTAAAGATACCTTTAAACTCTAACCTCAGTCTCACTAAGAAGTCATTTTTTTTCTTTATTACTCTGCTCACTGAGCAGTGTGGATCTTGGGTATTCCACAAACACAGAAATGCTCCCTCTTCTTCTGCTTGTGTGTTTTCTCTATAGACAATGCTATTTCATGCTCAAGATTATCTATTATAATACTGTCCTTCAAGGTCCAGTTCAAATTCTACTGCCTTCATTATGCCTTTGTGATCAACATACTTATGTGGACATTTTTCATCCCATTTCCTACAACTCTCTACCTGTCTCTATTCCATGCTACATAGTTCTAAGAGTTTATATTTTGCTCTCTTACTAGAATCAGGTTTACTTGAGGTTAGAGATAATGCACAATCTGTCTATGAGCCACTGTAAAGCCATGAAAAAGACTGGGAAGAGTTCCAACTGCAGAAAATAAAGATGTCTTTTCTATTTGTACATTTTTTGTGTTCTGTTCAACAGCATGTGTCTTGACATCTTAAAATTTCATGATTATGCATAACGAGGAGGTCTTCATAGTAATTTTAATAACATAGTAGACACATGGATGCATTGGCAAACTTTGAGTTGATTTGTTCATGTCACCATCCTCCAGAGCATTCTTCTGTGGCTTTTCTGATTGCCTCCCACCAAATTCACTCCACAGTTTAGGTCTTTCCCAATACTCCTATTATTGTACCACATCTCCTTGAAATATATAAAAGTTTTGTCTCTCTAGAGATTTTGCTATTCAGTTCATCTTGGTCTTTTTCCCTGATTTAACATTTCTGATGAGAAATGCTGCATCTCCTTCTGCCTCTGGGCTCTTCCAGAATAGTTGTGGCACATTGTACTTTCCTTCTGAAGGGACTTAGACCACCAAGATGCCATTTCAAGCCACATGGCATTCATACAGTTTGACAGGAAATTGTTTATTTGTATTACAAGTTTTTCTTAAAAGCAATTCAGACTATTAAAGCCATCTGAGATGAGATGCCACATTAAATTTATTCATGCCTCTTCCAATTTACATGGCCATGTTAATCCAACACACAGGAAAGAAAGAAATGAAGATGAAAACCAAAATTTCTTTAGGCTAAATACTCTACATGAGGTCTGATGGCAAGACATAATGCAGGTCTCTCACCAGACCACCCGAGGATGGTCATATCCCAAAATACTAATATCTATCATATGCTGTATTCATATAGTTCTGAGTATATGCCTCCTTATATTCATGCTGATTCATATTTATGCTTGTTTTAACAACCTCTGGGTGTTGATTGGGCAATACCTAAAATGTGTGTGTGTGTGTGTGTGTGTGTGTGTGTCCCTGAACACAGTGATACACAATAAAAGGATTCCCTAGAATATCAGAATCTTTCTGACTCAGAAATTTTATACCTTCCATCTTAAACATGCATGTTAAACTTGGATTTTCTCAATTATGACTGTCATCAATGTAACAAGTCCTACAAATCAAATAGCCTTTGATACAAAAGTTTGCAAGCCATATGGAAGTGAGCAGTCTTTGTCGCATTAACTATGTTTCTCATACTAAGAAAATCTTTGCCTTGGTATACAAATGGATATAGTACTGTCAGAGTTCTGGCCCCAGCCCAGAAAATATTGTCCTTTACGTGTCCTCCTCCAAACAGTGTTTGAGTACATAGTAATTCTCTTGATATTACCAGTATTATGGTGTCAGCCTTTTATTTACTTATTCCTTCCCCCTATGGACAAAGCTTTGATATACCCTATGAAGAATATAAATAAATGTGAGTAACCATAATGCAAGGTACAAATGCAATAAAAATATACAAATAGGTGCTGTGGGAGTTCTGAAGAGGAAGTTTATGTCCAATATGGGAATTGGAAAAGACTGAGCAAAGGAGTATACAACACCAGTTCTAAAAATAGGTAAAAGTAAATGGAATTCTGCAAATAGGTATAAAATAACTAGAGGATTTTCCCCCTTCTCTTGATATGTATAAATTAATCTTTAAAAGCTCAATAAACAACAACTAATTGCTAGATCAAAGAAACATTACTTTAATCTTGGCCAGATTATTATATTTGAATGGTGGTATAAATGACAAAGAAAGTAGTTCGTTGTCAAAGCCAGGACTTTCATGTCCAGATGGAATAAAGTAGTCCACAATAGGCCAAGATATATTACTTTTAAAATACTTAAGGCTTTAGAGAATTATGAAAGCACCTTGAATGAGATGTGTCAAAATTCCTGAGGAAAACAATGTCCCTTTGGTAGTTAATGATAGCTAGTAATTTTTTTTCCTCTGAGAATATTTTCCAGTTCTAGCCACAGGTTGATGAACCATGGCTCAGGCAGAGAACATTTGTTATTGGAAAAAAGAAACCAGCAAAACTCGGATGTCACACATAGCTACAGTGATAAAAATGAAAACTTACAGAGCCCTAAAAATATAGCCAGTTTCCTTCTAAGGAAACTTTTGGACTTTTATGGTTCCCCTCCAGATAGGACCTAAACCTGAAATTCCCAGTAGGCAGAAACAGAGAGGGGCCCTTCACTATCCCCCAATGCTTAGGAATTAAAGAATTGTCAAATGGAAATAATTGCTTCAAAAATGAGACTGATCACTGTCTATAAGCTCTATAAGTTGGACAGATCATAGTTAAGCTGAAAACCTCTAAAGAAAAAGTCTGGAATTTCCTACAGACTTCAGGACTGAGACCAAAAACCAGACTCTCAAACAAAGTCAAGGAATATACCAGATATAGAATTATATAGGACAGTTGAACGGAACTTCTATACTCCACATCCTTGATTTAACTGAGGTGATCACTTTTTCCTTCTACCTGAATAAAAGAAGATAGCGAGCATTAGCTCTGTTGGAAGGTCAAATCATATGGAGCCTAGTAGTTGTGTAAATCCAAAACCAGTTCACTCAGCCCACACTCATGAGAAAAAAAATCTTATTTAAAATCAGCAGAGACTAGAAACAGACCAGGTTGTAAGTTTGCAAT